TGGCTCTTTCAAAGTACACGAAGTGTTGTTGGATGTGTTGCATTATATTGTTCTTCCAATTGAGTGGGGTATGTATGTACGTATGTATGTATACATGCAGTAGATTGGCCATGTAAGATTATAATTGACTAGGTTTGGTGATTGTGGAAATTTCAAGTGTAAAATGCATCAAATGAGAGAGTAAGTTCATTTTTGGGGTATATCTAAAAAAAGGAGTGATGACCTAGAATTTCAAAACTATTTGGTAATTACTTTGGAAACTTATAAGAAGTAAAACTTATAAGAACATGATTTTTAAAATTAGCACTAAAAATAAATAAATGTTGAATCTGTAACCGCCAAAACACAAGAGAGAATATATATATATATATATATATATATATATGTGTGTGTGTGTGTGTGTGTGTGTATATAGTATTTTGTATGTAATGTGTTTTTTCTTTTGTTTGAAAAAAAATTAGAACATAATTAATATACCGTAGTTTGCAAAGGCTTGTAGAATGTAAATGAATTATAGTATTAAGAAAACACCAAGTCCATGGAATCAACATCAAAACATTCAACTTGTGAGACAGAGGGTAAATAAAATATTGAAAGCATGCATGTATAAAAATAGATAATATGATTAATTTAATGAATAATGGCATTTTGTTTAAATGATACATTGTCTATGAATGCACAGTGTATGTGCAAAATGATTTGAATGTATCTTATTTGACACCAAAGGTGCTGTACAATTCTTACATGCCATACAAGATTGCTCACTAATATTTAATTTGAAAATACAGAAAAAGAGTAATATTATATTTTGGCAATAAACATATGCTCATTATCTTTTCTTTTTATCTAACTGTTACAAATATTAAAAATAAACTTAGCACATCACCAAACACCATTTATTTATTTAGTCTAAGCTAGGTATTCAATATCTCAATGCAATGGTTTGGATTTCAAGTATTGGGACATATTTTCTTTGATACATCTTGGACTTGTAACATCCCAACACCAGAGAAGCTTCTATTGTGGCAAAGTCATTCCAAAACAAAGTGAATCAAAGGAACAAACTAAGTTTCATACTCACATACATACATAAATGTGCCGAGGATTTTAATTTTAATTATATTAAACTTATTATTCTGCGGTTGTATTGGGTTTTGTTTTTGCATATAAGTAAGGGCCGACAAAAGAGTCCATTAACGAATGAGTTGGGGCATATTATTTAATAAAGAACCATTTGATCCCCCATGGCATCCACAATTTCATTGAAAGCAGTGCGATCCCCCTTCCCAACAGACCAAGTCCTCAAGTCCTCAGAAGGGCCTACTTCCGACCCACATGCAATCCGACGTGGACACCCAAGCCACGTAAACATGCCAGCTCAGCGGCTTCGAATTCATGAGGTGGATGAAACATCAGCAACACTTTGTCCACGTGAGCATTGGTCGAGCCCTTTAAGCCAAGGCCCACAGAAGATACGAAAAATAAAGTAAATAGAAAAGAAAAAAAAAGGCGATGATTTAAGATAAATATATTTCTAATCAACATTGTGTGATCTAAATTTGAACAAAATAATTGAGTTGAAGGATACAAATATAAACTTTTGGATTCTAATCACTTCGTTATAAGACAATCTGCCATACAAGAAATTCTAAATCTTTGTTGAATTTGTTTCAATAAAGTCCTTGTGAACTTTACCAAAAGGCCTATTTCTTTGATGTAGTATTATAGATTATATAACATAACAAAATGATTGTGCAATAAAAACGTATGCAATTGTGTACATGTATAAAAAAATGTTCTCCATTTAAAATTATTTACATATTATGAGATTTTTATGGTTGCTGTATATTAATTGAAAAAATCAATTCATGAGTTATGTATTTTAAAGTGAACTCAAAGATTCAGAAAGTGAAGGAAGTGTATACCACCATTTTAATTTAATTACAATCATGACATGAATCATTGAAGTATGTGAAATTAAACTTTATCCTTAAGTTCTTTTGGAGCATCCAATCCATTGAAACTATTGCAAGATGCTTAAACCAAATTACAAATCTTTAATTTAGTCATAAAAGAAATTTTGTGATTTTAAGTACATATTAAATGTTCAAGATATAAAACCAATAAATTGATTAATAGTTTATAATATTAATTAGGTGAGTTGAAATAATTTTGGATTGGTGGTTAATAAATTAATTTACAATAAATTAGTGCATAAAAAAAAATGTCTGAAATTAAATTCTTCTATTTCTTTGCAGAAAGAATTTTGTATCTAACAAATGTCAGATTGTAGTTTTAGAATCTACAAGGATTGTATTTGTGATTGTTTTTAAGGGTTTGGTAGATTGTTATTTTGATAAAGTCATTTATAAATCAAGCATTCAAAATTCAACAACTTTTCTAATAATGTTATGTTATTAACTTTTTATGAATAGTTAATAACATGACATTATTAGAAATAATAGGGTATTTATATATTTTTATATTAAAATCCTTGCACTGCAACCTTATTATATTTAAAATTGTAAGTAACTGTATTTAGAAAAATTACACAATGATTATATGCTTTGATTGACCAGGTTTGATGATTTTGTACAAAAATTCATATATGGGTAAATTATAACAATAGAAGAAAAAAAATTATCAAATGATTATGTATTTTAGAGTACTACAAGATACCCAAATGTTAGACATTATACAAATAAGCTTATAAACCAAAACTAAAACAAGACTTAAAAAGTATCTATTGTTTAAAAAATAAAGATGATCTTAATCTTAATTTTTTAAATTTAATTTTATAAAGAAAAATTAAAATTAAAATTTTGAGTTTTGTAAATTTAATAATTATCATAAATTGGTTTATTTTGATGACTTTGACTATGCTTTTAAAATAAAAAATGATTTCAAACTATATAAATATATTTTTTAAAAAACCACTAATTTTTTTTATGAACCACTAATATAGAAGTTTAAGATTGTGAATTTTATTTTTAGCTTAATATAAATATATCTATGGTAGATTTTTAATCTTATACTTTATAAAAGTTATAATTATTTTATCATTATATATATATTAAGTGAAAGTTTTAATTACCCAATATATATTTTATTAGCTATATTAGATTATTTAATCTATGTTTTTCTTTTACCAGTTAGAATAAATATAAATATATATATATATATATATATATAGATATTTGAAGCAAGACACAACACAATATAAAACCATTGTATTGTCAAAAAAGTCAAGGTAGTTAGTAGATTAATAGAAAGAATTTGGTAACTTGGATATCTTAAGTCATATAGTTAGAATAGTTAGGTAGGTACAATGGCATATATTTTAATATTAAGTTTGTTAATATGTTAATACAAGTTAGTGCAAGTTGGTTGACCATAAAATGAGACTCCATCCAAGTCAATAACAAAACATTGGTTATCTTTATTGATACTATATCAAGTATAACTAAGTTATAGTAATTGTGTGGTTGTAAGTAGTTCTTTGAAGAATACGACATGTTTACTAGATTATTTACACTAAGAAGGTGGGAGGTGATATTGTCTAAAAAAGAGTGTGGCTTATTTATGCACACATTTGATGAAATTATAATTTGTGTTAAATATTTTTGGCAGAATTTAAGGTTTTATTTATTTATTTATTTATTTTATTTGCTTTGTATTATCCTTGATTGGTCATGTGAAACTTCTGTATAGACTATCCATTACAAGTAACTAATTTAAATCTAATAAAATAATGTAAAGAAGTAAAAAGTTTTTTAGGAGAGTCAAAAGTTACTAGAGTTTTCATTTAAGAATGATTATCAAATGCTAAAGTTGATTTTATTTTTCTTACATTTTATAAGATAAATACTAAATAATAAAATAAAATAAAATAACTAACTACTATAAATAAAATATAGTTAATTATTAGAAATCAATATCAAATCACTTCAAAATTAAATTATTATTTCCAAATTTTTTTTCTAAAAAATACTTCTTTTAAAAGACAAATTTGAAATTAGTCATTATCTCTTAGATCACCTAAAAAAATCTTTAATATTTTTTTATGCATTCTCAAAATTAGTCATTATCTTTTATTCAAAGCATTCCTCAAGATGCTTTATATACTTGTTTTTTTACTAAAAATAGATATGATTTAACATGAACAAATAAAACACTAAAAAATTAAAAAATATTCCAATTGGTGATACTTTGTGACAAGATATTATGTGAAATGTAATTACATTAAGTATGAATATTAAACTCATTAATATGCATTTATTGATTGTTTCAATTTTTTTTTTAAAGTTGTAATTATTATTTGTTTTAAACACAAAATTTTAAAAATCATATTAATCATTAATTTTAAATTATATTGTATTTTATTTTTTTTAACACATTCAAAACAATAATTACAATCTTCTCATAATTGTTGCACAATGTAAAGTATATTTTCTTCTAAAACATATTGCAAAATATTTCAAATTTTAATGACTTCACAAAAATTGGTAGTCAACATCTTCAATTTCACATATCAAAGTTTGTAAAAATAAATTAATACATATAATGTTACGTTATAAAAACAAAATGAAAACAAACAAAGAAAGAAAAAAAATAAAAATAAAAAAAAATCATATAACATCAGATTTATTCCACATCATCAAAAAGACATGCTGCAAGGGAAAGCAATTAGATATCGCTATTTCATTTAGACCAGAAACAACTTCTGCATGCATCCTACCCCTAATTTTTCTGTATTAATACATTTATTTCTTGTGAACAAAATTTTCATACAAGGAGCTTACATGCGCGCTTCAAACAAACCCAATTAGCAGCCCGTCCAAACTACGTCTCATTGTTATGATCATTTAATTTCAGAATGTTTTCTATACGACAGAATGTAGTTGCGAAGCTTAAAATTTTGAGCACATTCCGAGTTTCTGACAGCAACAAAACAAGAAAAGAAGCTATTAGATATTTAACCTGAAATGCAAGACGAATTGTGAGCTCAAGAGCAGGCGGATTGTACTCATTCAACAAAGTATGTACATCGACTCATCCAATTGATGTTTTTTCACAAATCCAAACTGAAACACCTCTCAGTCCCTTCGCCACAAAACACATCCCATTCGCTGGGAGCCACAACGCTCCACCATTCCAATTGGGTACCAACTCCAAACCACGCTTTCTTTTATCCAACCCCTCTATTACTACGCCATCGAGTTCACAGCAGTGTTCACAGCCAGAGTCTTCCCCCTGCCCGTCGAAAACCCCCGCGTTCCGTCCGGCATGCGTGGCCCTGGCGGTGGCTTTCCTACTAGCTCGCTTACCAAATGTAAGCTGTTGTCCCGAGGCGGTGTTCCCGAATGCGTGTTGTAAAATTGCTGTCCACGTCCCCGACCTCCCCCGCCCGCTCTACCACCTCGACCTCGACCTCTCCCTTTCTTACCCACCTGATCTCCGCTCTCACCCTGCCAGTGCCCCATCCCCCACACACCCACACACTCGTCAAAAACTCCACCCAGACCGTTTACAACATATCACCTGCATCTCAACATCCACCTCTAGCATTCACCCACTATCACCACGTCCAAACCGTCGCACACCAATGGCGCCTACTGCAATCATCTCACCAGCATGTGACACATGCCCACTGCCAGTTGCACGACTTACCGTGTTATCTTCTCCGCGATCTGCATGATGATGTTGGCGTGCCAGTTCCTCACTACCCTTGTCATGAGGTTTGTCGCCGTTCTTCTCCAGCTTTTTACCTTCTTCCTCTTTCATGGTCAGATCGATGTTGTCCATGCTTGGTTTGCGCGTTCTCTGATGAGGGGCCTGCTGGTAGTTAAGCTTGCTCTGAAACTGTGAACGCATGTTGCTTATCAGGACCTTCAGGGATACAGAATTATACAGAGCGTGATACCAGAGTGTGTATACAAATATCAAAATGATTGAACCATCGACCTTCGACCTTCACAGTTTCCAGTGTTTGCAGTGCAAGGTCTAACAACAGAGCCTACTGTTTCCAACGATCTATAGAAACTGAGAATCAGCAGCTGGGTAAAGATGTACGGAAGGGGTGCACACCTGGCGTCGCTGCAACAAGCGTGTACGTAGTCCACTCCTCCAGTTCCGCTCATTTGTTAATTCCACCACCTGTATAGAAAACCAAAAAATATAAGTTGCCTTGACAGTGGGATGTCCCCAGATCCTTGTGCGTTTGCCGCAGCTGGTAATGATCTCCAGATCACTCTTTGTCAGAGCTCCAACTCGAAAAACACGCATGCGCTGCATCAGGCGCTGGCAAAGCTCGTGAAGCCAAGCTGCTTATCTTGAAGCCATTTTTTAGTTAATATATACCGCTTAATCAACTGGTAACCATTGTAAGACCAAGTATATGTTATTAGGGACGAACACATGTGATCAGATTACTCACAGCTTTTTCAGCAAGCTCCACTGTTTCAAACTCCACCAGGGCATGCAACTGCACAAGAATAATACTAGCAACCTCATTCGCTTGAGCCACCAGCTAATTGACAGCAGCGATTGGCATTCAAATAGAATCATATCACATACGTACTATTTGCTATTCGAAGTGTCGTTGATATCGCACATGAATACGACAATACACGGAGCAGCCTAGGAACGGGAATCTACTCAAGTTACGTACTTTGTACCCACCACAGCTACTTGTTTCTTACCTTATTACTAATGAGGATATCAGTTTTGGGATGTTTTGCAGAAGAAGAAATAGCCCCGTTCGCAACTTCTGGAGGACATATGCGAACCGACTTCACTTTCCCCACTTTCCCAAATAACTCCTGAATACTCCCAATGGAAGAATTCTCTGGCAGATCCTCAGCTACAACAGTACGTGACTGTTCAAAAACGTCAAAGTATTTCCTCAGGACACAGAATATTTCAAGCAAATAAATATACAACACCAACGATATATGAAGTATGCCTGTTTCACGATAAATACAGCCGTAGCCTGAGCTGCAAACTGACTTTAAACAAGACAATCATACAAGTGAAGGGTGTCTAACATTGCAGGTGGTTGGAAAATTTGAAGACATATAGCAATCAAAGAACAGAACTAACACACCTGAACTTCCTCAAGATTGACTTCTGGAAGTGGGTGAGCGCGCCGGACCCTTTTCCCGTCCTCACTAACCACCTATCTCAATACCAAGGTCATGATGCAAGGCCAACAGTGGCTCCATTCAGGATTCTATATGAACCTAAAGCGGAGATATTCTTACACAAGCAGACTCACAATGCTAAATCACTATCTCAGCATGTCCTCAACTCAGCCATTTCCTTCCGACCCCAAGGAACTATTCGAGAGACCCAAGCGTGAATCCAATAACACTACTCGTCTGCTGCATGTATTCATCTAGAACACATCCTTTATACGCCTCTCAATACAACCAGGACAATTATGTACAAAATCAACTCACCAGCAGTGTTGAATTTCTCAAGGCCGCTGCTACAACTCCGTGATTCTTCACCAGGTTCTTGATCTTCCTGAGCGACGCCACCACAGGTATCGGGACTGCAAACACCAAGCCAACTTCTTACGAATGCTATGACTTCCAAAACCCAGATGTGTGTCTTAAGCATCACATAACCACATTCAAGATAGGAGCTTGCACGCTGCAAAGATTAACCAATATCCAGACATGGAATAATTAGCGCCGAAGAAACCGGAACCATGATCTGCCGTACCAAAGCCTTCTGGATCCTTCTTCACAAACTTCATCAGGTAGTTATCTGTTGGAAGGTTCGTGTCACTGAACCAGAGCTCCACCTGCAAACATTGCAGAACGCATTTATATTTCACGTGAATGTGTAAAATAAACTTCCATGAAGCTAATTCGAGGACGGGTTACCTACGTCAAGGCTTGAACCAAAACTGTGCCCTCAATTCATAATCCACATAGTTTAGCAACGCACAAATTATACATGAGCGAAAATCCATGGATAATCGTTTCCCACTCTATCACGAGAATTTAACGCATGCCTGTCCTACATTGTAATCTTGCAAGGAACGGGATGAAATTTAGGTAGAACCAGCGAAGATCCTGTGACTTCCATAATCGACCGGCCTCTTGTACTTTGTCTCGGTTATTGCCTCAGATGTACTGCATGTAGAAAATTTCGTACCGTTTCCAGAGGAAATTGTGTTTAATTGTTCTCCTAACGATTCATATTCAATATAGAGTTGACAATTTGGGCGTTCGGTAGGGCTGATTCTACAATAACTGCTAGACTTCACCTATCTGTTGTTCTCAGAAATTTCATTGAAAAATGGCAAAAGATAGACATTTACTTTTTCATTCAATGTAATAAAATGTATTCCTGTAACCCTAGAAACTTTCTAGTGTAGACAGCTGTGAATGAGGAAACGTAAAACACGGAGAGAAATTCAAGAAATGCAGGGACGTCACTGCATCAGTCACCAGCTCTGCTAATTGGCAAGGTCACATCATGAAAATAGAACTCCAAACGGTGAACACCAAACCTGCTTTAACAGTTTCTTATGGCGTGGACATAATGCTCGTAACAATAAGGCCTCATGTCGATAGTGTCGGAAACATGATTTAATCCAGCAATAGTAAACAAACCTGGTTCACAATCTTAGACTTCACCTCCTCCGTAACCATAGGTTTCGCAGGCTGCACCACGGTAGCTGCAGTTCCTTGACCCTGCTCGCTCTCCGCAACATGCCCCACTGCCAGCACGCCGTTGGGACCATCTTTTGCTTCCATACCATCACTACTAGGTACACACTCTGCAATATACTCCTCCACGGTAGGAACGACAACTACCGGCACAGAAGCGTTCGCCACGCACGGGGGAGGTTTGACCGCAGGAATTACAGGTGTCGGAGCTTGAATCTGAGACGGGAGACCCAACTCAAACCCTTTTGGGCGCTCTGATACAGGTAAAGACGTGGAAAAGGCTATCTGCAAACCCTTAGGAACAAATGCCGGAGCTTCTGCATTCAGCTTCGACCCCGAAAGAGACCGACTGAGAAAACGTATCTTCTCATTTCTGCCATCAAAGATCTGACACGTAAATCAATGTCAGCCCAGGAGCAAGAACATGTAACCAAAAAGCCAACCACCCTGAACCAACGAATCTTCACAGAGCGCAGAGGATATCGCATCCTCGACAGGTATTTCAATGCAAAGAGCTTGAACCCAAACTCGCCGGAACATCGGGAGTAATGTTGTACACGAGACTAAATCAACCAATAGTCAACCCGAAACATTACGATACTTGAGAAACAACTTCCTCAAAATCATACGCTCGAATGAGTACACAAATTCATCTCACAGCTAATCGACGATAGCCAAATTCACATGATTAAACAATTGTGCACATGACGGCAACGTAAATCTACACAAGAATACAACACCTGATCATGCCAGTAAGATCGAACAAACCACTATTGCAAGAATCTCCACTACAACGCAACTAGTGGGATAAAGGAAGGATGCATCGAAACAGTAAGCTAGATGCAATTAGCAAATTAACCTCACCCACTTTGCATCAGAGTAGAGAGTTACCAAATTTCCAAATAAAACAAAAGAACAAAAGAACAGAAAATCAAAAATGAAAAAGAGAGTCAAACACGAACCCTTTCCTCCAACCCTTCGATTCAACCCTGGCAATACTAATCTATGTCACAACAGATCAAAAGTCCAAATCACACATTTCCGGCACACATTCTCACAAATCCCATGCTACATGGGCGATCGCTGCAGGATCGGAGCTGCACCGTCAACCACAACCACACACGAACTCGGCTTCATCATTTGATCAACCGCATCGCCACTACCACCCAAGCCTAAATTACAAACTCCACAGATCACATCCTACGCACTAATTCGGAAAATCCTACTGACATACCTACAGTCCTAAGATCCCACACTGTTCATCGCTGCTCCTTAACTGCCTATCCTCACACCGCAAACCGCACGCACACGATCCACACACAAACTAATGGATCGAGTCCACTACACAATCGTACCTGAGGAGGTGCAACGTGAGCGGACGATGTCGAATGTGTGCGGCGGTGTCTGCGAACATCAATTGGCGGATTGTCCATGCCAGAGCCAACTGTGGAATAAGCGAAGCCAGGAGCACCAGCCCCACGGTGATGGTAATGGTTTTGATGCTGATTCGCAGTCGACACCGACGACGAGGGTACCGTCACAACCACCATGGGGACGGCGTCGGCAGCCCCGAAGGTGGAGCGAGGCCGGTGCTGGGCCGAGGCAGCGGCAGAAGGCGCCATCGGCGAAGCCTGTCTAGCTCTCCTCTTCCATCGTCATAGCCTCATGGGCGCCGTGAAGCTCCCACCTCCGACGAAGGACGTCAGCTCGGAAGTCCGTAACTTGGTAGTTGCCCCCTTCAATGAATTCTACCCATGGTCCCTATTTGAGAGCACCCAGCTTAACTCTCCTCTACCACTCGGGCACGAAAAAGACGAAGCAGCGTCGCGAATGTCTGCGTGCGCACCGCATTCTCGCCTGCTTCCTCCTCTCCCCTCGCCGCTCTTGAGATCGAATCTCAACCTCCTCGTAACCCTGGCATTCGTTGATCAAAGAGCCCCATCGGATCGGAGATGCGGATGAGATTGTCGATTGTGCCGTTACTACGTGAAGTCTCCGGGACACGATTCGGTTGTTGCGGGGATGAACAGTATATCCATACAGCCATACCCTCTTTTGGTTCGAGGGATTGAAGAATCTCGTTTCGAGTGTAAGGGATGTGCGCATACGACATGAGCGTTGCTGCAGAGACACGATTGTAAATGCTTGTGTTAACACAGTTTCTTCCGTCATCACCGTCACACCAACCTTTGCAACAGAAAAACTTGCGGATACTCCCTACCAGACTCAATGTAGACTCAGAATATGTACAGTAATTCAATTGTTCGGATGTATGTCTTTTCAAGTACTGTCGTACAATTGACTGTTCTTAGTAACTCGTCACTGCCCCGAGGCATTGCTTATTTGGCGGAATCTGCTGCAAAATAAATTTTGACAATACTTAGGACCATGCACTTCTCTCACGCGCAAGAAACGGTTGCTTGCACTCGGGAAGACTCCCAAACCAACGCAAATAAATACTGGTTCTAGTTATTTGGTTTGGACCGTGTAAGCGACCAATCTTGGCCAGCGTTTAAGGTCGACTTCAGTATTCGTGACGGGTGTGGATACCACATTGCATCTAAGGTTGGTGTTTCTGAGATTGCCCAGACTGCACCATTCTTATCTGTGCAAGTCTGTAGTCCCCGAAAGCTTGACAATCTACAATTTTTCGCCACTGGTGCGGCCCAAGAGTGTGGGAGAAAATAACTACGGTAAAATCATTGAACACCCTTCCTGGAAGACTGGAAAAGCCTTTCGAGACCGTTGGATCATACACAATTCCACTCCTGGATGACTCGATCCTGGATTGGAAGCAGCCGAGTCCAACTTGCAGAAGAGATGCTGAATGCAAGGGAGCTTTATTCTAATCTAAGATTACGGTAAAAGTGAACATAATAGAAAAGAAGTCAGCAAGACTCTCGGATGACGCCGCCCACGTGATTCCCATGCAGGCGGTTGTCTGAGTTGTTTGTGAAGTTATTACCCTATAGTATGTCGAAGCTCCTCCTGTGATTCTGCTAGACAGGACAGGTTAGGTCATACGATCCAAGGCCGTAATGCTCAATCTGGAAACCTAAATTTCTCTGGCATGTGAGATGCCGTAGACTGGAAGAACTTGACAAAGTATCTCACATCAGAAGTGTACAAATCGTCATGACTCAACAGATTCAAAGCATACCTGATCAGCTTGTGTTGCAAATCCGTCCGAAACAAGTCCCTCTACAAAGTGACGGCAGCGAATCTGCAATTCTGACTCGATTAGCCGGTAATTCAGTAATTTTACTCCATCTCCAACAACTCCGTATTTTAATGAATTCGATGTCACACGAAGGAGCATCTAATGGAATTTGGTCCTTCCAAATGATGCAAGTAACAGCGATGTTCAGAATCGAAGAAACAATTACTCAGGGAATTAACTGTGTTCATCGGTTATGAATTGGAATAACATCGAATATCAGATGGATTTGGGGAGAAAACACGAACACCTTTATAATCCTCTAACAGATGATAGTCACGAGATACATGAGGCCAACAGTCAGATACACGTGAGCACAAAACCCAGGATAGAGAAACAACTTGTTCGCTGTGGCCAGCACATTGAAACAATATGATTTATAAACAAAGTACTAAACAATTTGTTGAAATTGTAAACTAGGTGAAGGCTGAAGATCTTACGCCGTATGAGGCCTACATGAATACGGTAAACTACAATCATCGGGGAAGATGATCAAGGTTAACTTCGACACCATTTTTTCGTGCTCGTTCCACAAAGGAACTCGAAGTTAATGCGCACTCTATGATACCTGCACACTCTGCAGGAGGTAAATCCTTCACAATCCCCAATTTTCCCTCTAAATCTTCTGTAATTGGTGGCACACTAATAGACGAGGAGGCTGAAGCATCGTATTGCATTGCATTGTGAGGGGAACGTAAGTTTCCTCGTGTCTGACAAGCTAACATGGTCTTGCAGTGTTCCGCTTCATCTTCTCGGATATTATAGAACACATCATACAAGTTATCAATCTTCGGCCGCCTTGTATTTGGAGTGCGGTCAGTTTGGAATTCATCAAACAAGTACAGATCGCCGGAAGTATAGTACTTCACTGCAACTTCAGGAGCTGGTAATTTCTTCAACTCCTCCCCATGTAGCTTAATGAATTCGTCGTATGTGTGGAAAGCATGCTTCTCAACACATTCCGAAAAATGGTAAGCCATTCGAGGACTTAGTAAATACATAACTACCGTCATAAAGTAGTAACCGACGGCGATATGCTGCGCCAGAAATCGATCCACCCAGCGCTCGTCCCCACCTAATGCCTCCATAGTCAGGAGATGATGTAGCTCATTCCAGCTCTCCGCAAAGTGAACCTTAATGTAATCGGATCGTCTCCACCAACCGAAGCTTTCATACATGTGTAGAACTGAGACAAAAGCGAAGTACGGAACCCTGGCAATTGTCTCCAGAACGTAAAAACGAGCATAATCCCTATTCTTGTAAAAAATATCTAGAACCTGTATCACAGCGTCAGTTGCGAGCTGGTTAAATGCCTTCTCTCCTCTAATCACCCATGCCTCCAAGCCTTGAGAAGTCTTTGCAGCGTCACTTATCTCAGCCTCCTCAACATCCTCGTCCTTTGCCGACTTCCCCCCAACTGCCACTTCCTCTACCGCCTTTCTCTCTGCCAGAGCTGCACAAGCAGATTTCCTTCCTCTATGACAGCAATATTGCGGAACCACAAGCGAAGTTGAACAGTGAAGCTGCTTCGAAATATAACACGTTCTTTTAATTCGTGTCAGCTGCAAGCCTCTTCTACCTTCCCCACTACATTTTATTTGATGCCGATCAACCTCGGATGCGCGGAGGACCAGCCCCTCGCTTCTCAGAAGACCGGCTGTCAGGCTGCTTGTCATAGTTACAAACCACTATCCAACACTCTCATAATCCACAGTTTAAAGTTTGCCTTTGGTTTTACCACACTTCAACACCTGACGCACACCGAACGCTTCAAAATCTTTCTATTGCCCTCAGAAGTTCTCTCTTCACACCAAGCCTCGAAATCCTAAAAATTGTAAATACACATGAAACAAAACCCTGCCGCAACCTAAAAACGTCAGACGGTAGGTGAATAAGGAGTCCAACAAAATGCTCAAAATTCGTGCAAATCTGGCAAAGCAAACGCTCCCCAAGCTGTCACACGCGTTCAAACATACCACAATCCTGAAACATACGTCAACTCTCCAGCCGCTCCGTCAGGCAAACCCTCAGGAATGGAAATTACATGCTCACTCGAAGTCTCCGACTACCACATTGGAAATTAGACGGTGCTGATCCAAGCAGGGGCACGACGTGCGTTGATGTGAATCGGCTGGATATGAGTCGGAGAATAGGAGTTCTCACAACTGGAAAACCAAAATATCCTTTTACAACTTTTGTAGAAAGCGAAAAGTGGGTTGTGCGAGGAATCCCAGCGGTGGTTCATGTGTGAACAAATTGCCCACCACGGGATCTCCCACGTCGATTATCTTCTTTTTTCCCTTTTTCTTTTTCTTGTTCCTCAATTCAGCAACCCATTTTCTTTCTCTCGTATTTTCCTTTCCCTCTTAATCACCTCCTCTGAGCCCCGTTATCTTTTGTTTCCCTTTTTGTGATTTTTGTTTCCCTGCACAATCTCCTTCCTTGCCTTCCTCTTTCTTCATTGCCTGCTTCCTTCCTTCCATTTTTTCTTTCTTTTCTGAGTCAATCTCAACACGTCTACTTCTGGCGTCTGGCGTCTCGACGATAGGGCTATCTCATTGTCAAAACTTGGATTGCTGTCGTCAGGTGTAGCTCCAACTCGTGGTGTTCACTGGAGTCTCCAATCCATCCACCAAATTACGATGCCGTAAGCGTTTTGTTCGTCAATTTAAATTAGGGTAGTGAAGTTGAATTAGGATCGCAAAGTATGAGATGACTTCTTAGTGATAAAAGCTTCACTCTATTCCAGATTTAAGACGAGTCTCTCTGCATCCTAGCACGTTCGGGGCAGTGTTCTTGCCAGCCTCCTTTACTTCCTCTTCACTCCCTTACACAATTCATCGATTCTATCCCAGACTATCATAGCCGGACTGTTCGCATTAACAATAGTCGATCTGTCCTCTTGCTCAAACTCCAATATTCTCAAACATTTTCGATTGACGGGAATTGGAACACTTGTTTGCTGTTTCCAGGGCGTGACGTTTGTTAATTTTTAATTGCGACCACGGTGAGGTAACCTACATGATTCAACCCTCCTTGTTTCCCGGAACAGTCAATTTTAGAAACATCAATAGCAATTTTAATCCTCTCTGGTTGTCCATTCCAGTTCGAAGCTACCTTCTCATTGCGTGAGGAAAACTTCACAAATTGACAGAGGAAATTTCCTCTATTAGGGCTTGGAAACTAAACGAGTATTCATGCTTTAGATGGTTGTGGACCGGGTGGATTCACGTATTCTTCCCACCAACGCTTAGGGCTCAACCTTTGTCTCTGTGCTTTGAGGACGGAGAAGTCGATCACCCTTCCCGCAGGCACAATCCCGTGAATCAAACCTTTTCGTCCTTCGGCTTTTGATGTATTAAATCAACAAACTAGATTAGGTTGTGCCCACTTCTACATCGCAAGTCATGCACGTCAATCCATCCTCATTTGTCACTCCAGATATCTGAGGACACGTGCGTCTACGTCCCGTTTCCGCCAGTAATCGGTGACGGGGTCAAATAGCGATGCTGCAGAGCACGGCACATGTCTCGATTGTGATTAACGATTGACACACAGACGATCCGACCCCAATCGGCACAAAAACGGCACAGTAATCGTGGATCATTCCGCAGCCGAAGCAGGGATCAGACAGACGCCACAGCCGTGACGACAAGACAAATCGACGAGCACGGACGACCGCGCCGAAGCCGGCAATCAGCGGACATGGTTTGCACACAGAATTTGGACATCCGTCGACGACGACTCCATTGATTCGCTTTCTCTCGCAGTGGCGTACGAGGTTGCAGATAGGGAGGGATAATGCCGCACATGCATTCGCGTAGATTGGAATCTTCGATTTTGTCTGCGTCTCCTGCAAATTGGATCGCTGATCAGGCCTTGAAGCCTCGGGGGCCGGTGCCTCGTTTCCACACCGTGGGATCCTACGCCCAAGTTGCAATGGAGATCGGCAGACACGGAGTTCGGATTGCACGCTGCACTCTCATTGCGATAGAGAGACTCAAATGCTCCGGGGAATGTGGTAGACATCGTTTCGTGACTAGTAAGTCAAAGGTGTCTTGGAAAGGGGTTCAGTGGAGTCAGTTCCCTTACACATGAAAAAAAAAGGTAAAGTTAACCCCAACAGCTGGTCCTTAACTGAAAGCTTGGTTTGGTTGAGGAAAAAAAAACCTGTATATATACACGTACATGCTAATATAATCATTATTGTATTGAAATTATATTAATTTCAACATCATAAATAGATATTTAAATTTAATCAAACTTTCATTTTTTTTGAGGTAAAATTATTCTAAAAAAAAACATGGATAGGCATATATAAATGACCAACTTTGAGACATTAACTTAAAGAATGTAATCAAATATATTTTAGATATCAAGATGCTCAAAGAATTTTCATTCTAAAAATAAAAATTAAACAGAAATTACAATAAAATTGTATTCCTATTATAAGATTTATTTCTATTTGGTTTGAATTCTTATATATTTGAAATTTAAATATATTTTGTAGAAAACACACTTTTTTGTACAAAATATTATACAAAAAAATATAGATGATTTTAAGAAATCTATAAGAATATTTTTATTATCTATAAAGGACTATTTATTCATAATTTTTTCAAAATACTTGAAATTAATATAGTTTTTTATAATTATCAATACAAAGTAATTAAGTAAATTTTTATGATATAAAAATTTGGTAAAAACTTAAAAAATAATATTTTAAAATTAACAAAAAGTGATATAACAATTGTATTCTTACTTTATCCATGTTTGTTTGCACCACATTCTGGATGTTTTGTATCTTTTTATAACATGACATGAAATCCAAAGATATATTTGAATGTTCATATATATATATATATATATTAAGATCACTCAAGGAAACAACTGGTGGCTCTTATTCACTGTATGTAATCCTCTTGGTTTTTATCAAAACACTTAATGTTGTCTAGAGTTTGAAAGGTAGTTTAACTAAATGTGAATGGATTTAGTAATGTCTTGTATGGACAAAACAGTGATTTCATGAGTTGCATGTGTTTTTCTTTATTATAGTTCATGAAAACTTAATAAAATGTGATTTATTTATTTATTTATTTTTTTGAATTTGATGAAGGAATAGTTTGCAATTACATCAAAGTTTAAATGGGTGCATAGAGTAAAAAATTCAAATACTACATCATGTCTATGTTATGCAGTATTTGCGGTGTGCAGTGTCAGAGATTGTTCGCTTCAACCATTGCATTGCCTTTGATTAAGTACTATGATAATGCTCTCTTTATACTTTTATCATTCATCAAAATAATTAAGTTCATTTGTAGTATCTCATGGTTCTATGAATGAATTTTTTTTTATAATATTTGCAGTCTGATATTGAATAAGGAACATTTTTAAGAAAAATTAAAAGTAGATTTATTTGTGAGAATTGAAAATTGTGATGAGATTATGGAAGATTATTATCTTTAATCAGCCAAATTGACCAATGTTTCATTCAAAAAGCATATGCAGTGTGATTGAGATGAAATGTAATATAAGAGAGTGTGTGTATACACCAAATAACTTGGTTGTTGGTTTAGGTAGACACATAGTAATCTGAACTAGACAATGTAATACATTGAAACCTACAAGAAGCAGAAGCAGAAGAAGGAATGTGGAATAAAGTTGCAGCCCAATAGTATCTAAAACTACAAACTAATATATTACTATTTCTATTAGCATTGTTTTTGCAACATCCCTTTTATCATAATCTGCATGGGCATGTATGTGCTTCACTCCTTTCCATTGCTCTTCATGGGTCAAAATTAGGAGCCTTACAACATTGATGATAAGGTGGTAAGATTAGATGTATTAAAAGTTTTTCATTCCATATATGTCAATTATATACTTGATCAACTTTGTTTCTAAAGGTTTATTTGTATACTACTTCAAACTTCTATTATCAGCAATTATATTTATAATTTTTCTCTCTGTCTTGGTAAGTTGAAACTTAGTAACCACATATTGTTTATCAAATGTAGTATATGTATAATTTGGTGATGGTTTGCATCAAGTTCATCTAGATAAACACAAGTCTAGATGTTCATTGGGTTCTTTGTAATTCATGTGATTAATCACATAATCATGATTAATAAATCACATGACTTATGTGATAAATTGAATTCATATAATTCATCTAGATGTTCATTGGATACATCTAAATAAACAAATAATAGTTTTAATTCATTGTATGTACCTCTCTTGTTTTTTATCAAAAAACTTACCATTATTTGGAGTTTGAAAGAAAGCAAAAGCTTAACCAAAACTCAAGCAAAGTTCATAAGAAGTTCACAAGGAGTTTATAGGATTTTTTTTTTTTTTTTTTTTTTTTTTTATGCGACTAAATGTGATTGAAGTTGCATCTTATTTTCTACAATTAAATTCAATTGAAGGTGAAGTTCAATAATTCAGAGAAAAGTAGATAATTAAATACCAATGAGATAAGGCACAAGTTATGTGAGGCAATGGAATTTTACCCAGTATACATTTGACCTCAATCTTTGATTGAACCAATGAGAACACAAATAGCAATGAAACATGGTCCAACACACAAGATATTGTGTGCTACATTATTTCTAACTCAATGGTATTTGAAATTGGTTGAATATGTTGGATGATTACTTATTTTTGATGTTATATTTGGATGCAAGGTAAAAAAAATGTATTAGTAAGCAATATTTGGAGTGAGGTGGATATTTGTCGTGAGTGTAGAAGTTATCTATTTCAACTATTAATCATGCATTCTCCCAAGTGTTGGATGTATAATACATGTGAATTTTAGTGAGGCTTGAATCTTTGATCTATAAACAAGTTACCTTTGAAATAAAATATTTTCATAATTTTTTTTATTTTTTTATTTTTTATTTTAAAACTATCATAACTTACTCATAATAATTCGGATTTACATGTTTCTTACATAATTAAAAAGATAAGAAAATTAAATTTCTAAAGATAAATATTTAACTTTTATTTTTTACTTTTTATTAGATAAAAACTCAATAAATAGATTATGATCAAGTTTTGAATTGTGTAATTGCTTGATTTCATTCATTTCATTTGTATTATATTTGGTCTTCTTTTGTTATTGCTATTTGCTTCTTTTACTTCATACAACCAATTATAAGCAACTCTTAATTAAAACCATCTTGTAATTTGAATTAAAAGGTAAAATTTGCCTTTATATTGGAGCTAAAAAAATTGTCTCAAGTCATGTATAATTTCAATTTAAAACCATTTTGGTTCAAATCAAACTCCGATGCAAACATCATAGATCAAATTGTGTGTCACCAATTCATTTCATTACATTCTAAATGATGCTTTAAACTAGGTGAAACTCCATTCATGTTGTCATCAATAGTATTATAATAAACGATATTATATTAACAACATTGATTATTATCAATAATATTATATTATTGAAGAAATCAATAATACAACAAATTTACAAGGTTATTTTTTTTTCTACAACTAAATACAATTGAAGGTGAATGCATGATTAAATGCAAGACACAAGCTATGAGAGAGGATGCGCAACAAGCATGTTGCATAATAAGAATAAAATTTTATTCTAATTTATTCTAACATGATATTTTTCAAGTTCAAGTATATTGCTTGTTATGGATTCAATCAATTTTCAGCAAAGCTAGAGAATCAATATTTATTGCTACATCATTTTTGCTACTACAAACTTTGCATATTTTTTTTTTGTCAATCTCAACATTATAATTGCAATGATAGAAGCGACATTGTTTTTTTTTTTTTTTTTTTTTTCTTTTGATTGTTGAAAGATATTATTGATACATAATAGAATAAAAAATTATCTAAAATTGTACTATAGAATTGTAGTAAAGTAAATATTGAGAGCGCGTTTGAAATTTACTCAACAGTGCTCTAAATAGACACTATTGAAATCTCAAATTGAAATATTAATTAAATTACATAGCCAATTGAGAGAAAAATTTGAGCAATTATTATTTTTTAGTATTATACAGTATAGGTATAAAGACTAAGAAAACAGAATGATAACTTTTTTTAAGCCTTTTATAAAAGAACCATAAATAAAAGAATTTTGTACTTGAATTTTTTGATTCTACACTACATGCATTTTACATCCTTCAACAATCATCTTTTTCTCCTCTATAACAGATCTAAGATATCATTATTAAACATAAATTTATATAAGAATTTAATAAGAAATAAAGTTATTTTATCATTTTCTAGTTTTATATTAATAGTTTTTATAGTTATTATATTATATTTATTATAATAGATTTAATATTATATATTTATTATAAACAAAATTCTTGATTAACAAAGTTTTTTTGGAATTTTAGAAGTAATGTTAATTACAATAGGTATTGCTATACAAAAATTTAATTGTAGGAAATTTATTTTTTATTTTTATGTGAAAATTTTTATATTCAATTTATATGTATATATATATATATATATATATATATATATATTAATAAAAAAATAAAAAAATAAAAATTTATAAATTATATTTATTTATTTTGGTTTGTAAAATATAACATTTTGGAATAATTGAGCTTTTGATTGCAGCAAGTTATTAAAAAAATATGTATAATTGTGATTAATAGAGATGCATAGATGTAAAATATTTTTCTTAAAATACTATAACATTATAAGTTGTACGTGCTTATTTTTACTTTATAGGTATAATATAATTTTACTAAAATACTTAAATAATAAGGTTTTATTAGAATTTTATGGAAGTACAATTTTGGTACTTACAAGATTACTTTAATTTTTTGATAGAACATGTGATGTTATAAATGATCTAGCTTTAATAATGAATCAAAGAATAGTTGTTTAGCAATTGCATAGGAAATGTGAGAGAGCACAAAAAAAAATAAAAAAAAAAAGAAAAAAAAAAGTTATAAATCCTAAAGTCATACATAATTTAGAAATGATGATTTTTTTTTTTTTTTTTTTTTTTTTTTATCTTCATTGTAACGCATTACATTGATTTGATGAATATTTAGTGTGATTGCTAAAGAAGTGGCCATTATATAAACAATGTTGTCATCAAAAAATAAAAAATAAAAAATCTACCATATGTGCCTTCTTTGCTTTTGCTTTTGAGATGCTTATTTGAGGACCAAGATGCAAGAATAAGAGATTTTCAAGAAAATATTTGCAAGTACAATATTACACATGTATTACATCTCTTGATGCAAATATTAATTGATTTGTGGTTCA